TGGGAGTAAAAAGAAGTCAAGCTTAATTAATTATAACCTTGTCTTTATAATGTCGACTATTTTGGTATTCTCGATAACTATAGTAGCAGAACAAAGCCAGTGCACAAAGAGAAAAGAAGCCAAGAATAACAATAGCGAACATTCTGCTTCCTGCACCAAAGAATCCTGGATCTTCCATTTCTGTAGGCTCTACTGTAGTTGGGTGTGCTAAAATGGTCTTTCTTTTATATTATTTATAAAAGTTACAGCAAAACTCTCATAATAGGTAAATTTTTTTGGAAGTAGTGTTGCCTAGAGGAGAAAAATTATTTCATGATAAGTAATTGAGATGATCTCGGCCGAAAAATGTTGAGATATTTCTAAAACACTCATTCATTTTTAAAAAAAAAGAAGACGGAATAAAATAATGTAAATGCGGTAAATCGCTTGGCTACATATATAATCCATTTGTCTTCACACTAAATTGTGACACCATATAAATTACTCGAAGACAAATTAATAAAACTAATAAAAGGTAAACTTACGAGTAGCTACGCGTTGTGGCGGAAATTGCACACGTCTATTACAATGGTGTGTACTACAACAGCAAAACAAAGCAGCATTACCATGTCCAGTTGGTCGTTCGTCAGCAATACATTGGCTGTTATCGCAGTTACCCAAATTACCATCATGCATCCAGCAGCCTTTTAAAGTTACTTGCTGCAAAAAACTAATTTCCAATTTATATTTATATCGCTGAGAATCTCATTAACGTTTCCTTTTACGTTCTTTAAGTTTCATCATTTGTCATCTAACTTCTCTTTAAGTTTCACATCATTTGTCATCATCATTTAAATTTCTGAGCATGCGGACTTTATATTTCTATTTATGATTTTCATCCTGAATTAAAAACAAAATACCAAAATATCGTTCAGTAAGAATTTCTCCCTGAACTTCGAAAGAAGCTGGAAGAAGTGTAAAAAAAATATATATAAAAAAATGGACGCATAAATGTTAGTAGCACTCTCAAGAATGAGAAAAAGAATGAAAAAAAATTACCCGTGTTAAAGAATTATTTACCAAAGCAGCCATACAACCTAAGCGATGATCGTTTACTGAAGCATAACACATTTTCGTGGTCGGACAACTCCGTTCCNAGCACTCTCAAGAATGAGAAAAAGAATGAAAAAAAATTACCCGTGTTAAAGAATTATTTACCAAAGCAGCCATACAACCTAAGCGATGATCGTTTACTGAAGCATAACACATTTTCGTGGTCGGACAACTCCGTTCCATAGGATCACATGAACTAACATCATAAAACTGAAAAACTTCGTGCAGTAATTTCTTTGAAAAATTCTGCTATATGACTGTATCAAAATGGGCTAAAATTGTATGAAAATATTCAGGCAGAATACAAAGAACCATTTTCATACAAAGAACCATTTGTATAAAATTAAATTGTTGCTGCTGTGGAATTAACATATATTTTCCTTTCGTACGTAATTGAAACTTACATCACAGTAAATGAAGGGACGGGATTTATTGTCTAGATTATAATTAAGACCTTCGATGCCATGCTTCTTCAAAAAAACTGGTTTCGCTGGAAATTTCATTTCTGCTCCACTCGATGACTCCTTCAACTATAAGTAATTGAAATGGCTAGTGTTGGTGCCATAAAATAAATGCACATCGTGAATACATATAATCCGTGAGCTTGAAATGACTTGCCAGATTAGTCTCGAAGTTGGAAATAACTACCGAGTAAATCAACAATTATTACTACTTCCACTCCAACTTTAAAAATGCTATTTAATGATTATCATGAAATGAAAATCTAATGCCACTATTTAAAACGATCACGGAACGTATAACCATACTTGGTACAAGGCTTGACAGTGCCAAAATATAAAAGACAAAACCTTAGGCAGTAAGCATTGAGTATGGTAAGATGAGTATAATGTCGAAAAGAATACATGATAATATCATTAAACGCCTATTGCTTATGCAAAAGCAGTGGTTTCGAGCTAGGTGATTATACATGTTAAGCAATCGGTTTGAACAATTACAATTGGAAGGTAACTTACATTGACTATGTCGTCATTGATGATATCCCCAAGAGAATTATGTTTCAGTGCAGTAAAGCAATAAGTAGAAATCAGTAAACGGGAAGCAATAAATATGACAATGAACGTCATCTTACCATCCCATCTGTTTTCTACTGCCATCTACAAGCAAACAGTACAAGCTATAACTGAAAAGTAAGAAGGAACAA